TTTTCCTTCCTCCCTCCTTTCCTTCTTTCTCATTTTCCTTCCTTCCTTTCCTTTTCTCATTTTCTTTCCTTCCTTCCTTTCCTTCTTTCTCATGTTCCTTCCTTCCCCTTGTTTCCTTTCCTTTTCTTATTTTCCTTCCTCCCTCCTTTCCTTCTTTCTCATTTTCCTTCCTTCCTTCTCGTTTCCTTTCCTTCTTTCTCATTTTCCTTCCTTCCTTCCTTCCTTCCTTCCCAGTGGTTAGAATTCAGCATTGCAGCCTAACTCTGCCCACTGCCAGCAGTTCGATCCTGACCGGCTCAAGGTTGACTCAGCCTTCCGTCCTTCCGAGGTCGGTAAAATAAAGACTCAGATTGTTAGGGGGGACAATAGGCCAAGTCTGTAAACCGCTTAGGGAGGGCTGTAAACTACTGTGCAGCGGTATATAAGTCTAAGCGCTATTGCCACCGCCCTCACCGCCATCCTGTCCGAAGGTGATTCCCCATAAATCCTTCATTAAATTCACGACAAAGACATGAACGTGATTGTGTTTATTGTCCAGGTGTTGGTAGAAAACGTACAACAACGCGAGTAGACTTGAATTATACAGCGCTTTGCTTGAATATGGAGTTTGAAAGTTGGCGGCTTCAAGCAAAATGGACGGCAGGGGATGGACATAAGGCACATACCGGTAGTCCTCTACTTACGACCACAACGGAGCCCTGAATATATGTTGCTAAGTGAAACGCTTTCAGAAGGCCGCAAAAGAGGATCACTGTGACCGTCATAAATACGAGCCAGTTGCCAAGCCTCCAAATTTTGATGGCGTGACCGTGAGGGTGCTGCAACGGTTGTAAAGTGTGAGAAACAGCCCCAGGTTGCTTTTTTCCCAGTGCCGTTGTAACTCCCAATGGTCACTAAACAAATCATCGTTAAGTCGAGGACCCGCTGTCACTGGACTCGGGCTCAACACTGAACAGGGGCTAAAGAAAAGACCCAGGAGATTTCCTTAGTGGTTGTAATTGTGGTAAACACACAAGGGAGTTATTGGGGTCACACGGTGTGTGGTGTGTTCATTTTTGTAGGCCGATGATGTGTCGTATTGTTCAAGAGGTGTAAAGATTGGCGGCAAACGGAGACATTGTGCGACTCAACGGGGAGCCTCGATCCGAAATAACACACCGGAGACAAAGATAAGCTGGGTGTGCAAGGGAAATAGAGCGGACAGCCCCTGGTCTGAAACGGAACGGGGTCTCCTGCTTGAGCAGGGGGCTGGACTAGATGACCTCCAGGGTCCCTTCCAACTCTGTTATCCTGTTATTCTTCCTCCTTCTCTTCCTTTTTAAGAAGAAACTGGACAGCCATTTGTCTGAAATGATATAGGGTTTCCTGCCTGAGCAGGGGGTTGGACTAGATGACCTCCAAGGTCCCTTCCAACTTTCTTTCTTTCGTCTTTCTTTCCTTCCTTCCTCCCTCCCTCCCTCCCTCCCTCCCTCCTCCAACACTGGAAGTTTTTAAGAAGAGACTGGACAGCCATTTGTCTGAAATGGAGTAGGGTCTCCTGCTTGAGCAGGGGGCTGGACTAGATGACCTCCAAGATCCCTTCCAACTCTGTTATTCTGTATTCTTAGCAGGGGGCTGGACTAGAAGACCTCTAACGTCCCTTCCAGCTCTATTCTGATTACATTACATATTTGTCTGAAATGGAATAGGGTCTCCTGCTTGAGCAAGGGGGCTGGACTAGATGACCTCCCAGATCCCTTCCAACTCTGTTATCCTGTGTTCTGAGCAGGGGGCTGGACTAGATGACCTTCCAGGTCCCTTCCCACTCTGTTATGCTGAAATAGAATCACCAGCTGAGTCCGATGGGCCAGACATCGAAGATCAATGCGTAACCGAAATACAGACGGTCCTCGGCTTACAACAGTCTATTTAGCGACCGTTTGAAGTCACAACGGCACCGGGGAAAAAAAGCACCCACCTGTGACCGTTTTTCACCCTTAACGGCTGTCGCAGCATCCCTGTGGCCCCACCATCAAAATTCGGACAGCTCGACCGTATTTACGATGGTCGCAGCGTCCCCAGCATGCGTGTGTGTGTGTGAGGTCCCGTGATCCCTCTTTTACGACCGTCTGACACGTGAAACTAAGGGGGGGGGAGAGCCAGATTCACTGAACAGCCGTGTGACTATCTCAGCATCCGCGGTGATTCACTTAACGACGGTGGTAAAATGGGGCAAAACCTGCCAAACCGTCTCGCTTAAATTTCGGGGTCCTTTGCGGTCGTAAGTCGGGGAGCGCCCGTACCGAAAGGGGTGAAAAGATGGAGGGGGAGGGAACCCAACGAGTCACACGGGAACAGGCCAAGGATTCACTCAAAAGCAGAAGTGAGAACAAAAAAAACCCGCATGACTCGTTCTCAGGGCGCACGGAATCGGCTCCTTTGCCCGGCCAGAAAAACACACCTCGACTTACGACGGGGTTCCCTTAGCGACCGTTCAAAGTTGCGCTGAAAAAAGAAATTGGACTCAGGACCAGTCCTCGCGCTTATGACCGTCGGGGCATCCCCACGCTCATGGGGATCAAAATTTGGACGCCACCGACTCGTATTTATGTTCCGAGGTTACATGATCCCCGAGGAGCAAAGTCAATAGGGGGGGAGGCCATGCTGGTCGTTAAGCGGGTCATCACAGGATTCTGCCTGTTGTTTTTTTTGGGGGGGTGGCAGTCGTTAAGAAAAGCGGCAGGTCGTGAAGTAAACCCCCCCCACGGTCGCTAAGTGAAACCCGTGTCTGCCACGGCCGGTTTCGGCCAGGGAAAAATGTTGTCAGTTCACCTCGTCATAAATGAGGGCTGATTGCCCCAAAAGCCATCACGTGACATTGGGGGGGCCCCTCGGAATTTTGAATCCCCGTTGTACGTCCCTTTTGGGGGGGTGTTCTGTTGCAATTTCCGTCATAAGTCGAGGACCACCTGCATTTTGCTGCGTCTGGTTCCTTGAAGGCCGAGCAAACAAATCCCCCGTTTTTAAGCTTTTGGTTACAGCTCAGTGGAGTTCCCGGAAGCAACTCCGTGCTAGTTGTAAGCGATTTGTTGCTGGTGCGATGTTCACAAAACCCCCTCGGCAAAAAAAACACAACGTACACCCTGGCCGCACAAGCAGA